CACACGCGCGCACAGACACCTGGCCGCTCACGCATGAATTAGTTTACTCAAAACGCTATTCAAATACTCGACATTCAATTATTAATCTTCCTTTTGTGTGCATACGTGCACCCTTTGTGGCTTCCGTTCTCGCCGAAATTTCAAAATCTTCGAGCTATGGCGAGGCCATGAGAATGCGAGGCAAGGGTATTACTGTTGTGGCGACGCCACTCAAGCTAAGCGAGCCTCAGCAGTAGATAGTCCGCTGCTCTCTGCTGTGCATGCTTCGGCGCAAACATGTACGCAAGCACGTCTTTTGATTTCAACCAATCAGCACCAACGCAAAGACGTCACACACCGACGTCACACACCCAACGTCACACACGACAACAGCTAAACTAAGCTAGCCGAGACGACACTCGAAGTCGGATGGACACGTTTTTCTGCCAATCTGTGTGTTTCCCTTTTTGTCCAAATATATTTTTTACGACAACTGTCTTGTCCACAGTGTCTTTTATTCGTTCCACTGGGGTTTAGCAAGTGTGTTTATAAAGAGACGAAAATCTGTTAACTGTTCCTAGTGTTAGTGTCTCAACATGGCTACGCTCGTGAAAGCAAAACAACGAACTCAAACGCGTCTTCGTTCAATGTTGTCAACTAATATCCGGATTAATTTTAGGTAAATTTTCCTCAATTCTCCGGAGATATTTTCATAAAAATTTGAAAAACCCAGAATTCAGGGAAAATCCAGAGGACTTTCATCTCTGAAAGAATCATGGTCAATGTCGGCTCATAACGTAAAGACACTTCATATAGCGGCACTTACTTGCTAATGCATGCATACATTGTGAAGCAAGTCAATTTGTGGAAGAACTCAAACGTATTACGTTACCCTGAATCTGAGGATTAGCGTGGGTCTTCAATGTTGGTGACCAAAATATGCCTAATTCAAATTAAAATTTACTAATAAACTAACCACCAGAGGGTGCTGGAATGGCACAAATACAAAATAACCCGATATTCTTGTGCCACACGACTATAAATCCCCAACAACTGTTCGAAAGTCCCACTTCTGGCTAATACCGAATTAAATACATTTAAAGCAACATTTAAAAATCAACCCCAAAGGCTCATGTTTCAAATTGTTAAAGACAAAAACGAAGAACAGTTTTGCTATAATTACTAGTTCTGTAAAAATAAAATGTAGTAGTTAGTTTTTGTATTTTATACAGAATTTTGATTTTTTTTTTCGTCAATGAAAATATATATTTTTTTTCTATTTTAGTTTTACTTATTTCTTTTGTTTGCATTAATTAAATTAGCCTTGGGATAACCAGGACTGATAACCTGTCAATCATGGCAGTATCTGCAATCAAAAATACACTGGTTGCACTCCTCTAATTGTTTAGCCATGCATTCTTGAAGCAGATAAAAAGCAGAAATTTGCTGTATTGCACTTGGCAATAATGGGTCACGATAAATGCAGCCAAACAGAGAAACATGACTGGAAATCGTCACCTCCAAAAGCTGAAGTACCACAATCTCGCTGTGACAGACAGTAAACTCAGAGACGTTTTCACAATACCAACAGACAAAACACGCAAACACACAAAAATGAAGCATTTGAGTAGTTGTGAGAAGAGAAAAACGTGCTTGCTAAGTTCAAAGCTTCTTGAGTAAAGTCGACAATTACGGGCACTGCACCTCTAGCTACAACAACCAGCAGAAAAACTTGCATATGTAGAATTCTAAAATACAGAAGAACACTATTCAAAATCCAGTTTCAAATGCATGCATATTACAGATAGGGATAAAACTACCGGTATTTAGAATTTACGAGTACAGTGAAGCCCTCCCTCCCAATTTGAGGTTCACCATCCAAAGTGGACAAAACTGTTGGTACCCCTCTGTCAATGAAAGAAAAATAACTGACAGAAAGAAATATACGATTAATGGAATTTGTGTATATGTGTGTGTGTGTGTGTGTGTGTGTGTGTGTGTGTGTGTGTGTGAAATTTAACCAATGAACATGAGACAATGCTTTTGAATTGTGGTTCAATAGAATTAAATAAAAAAAAAAAGGAAAAAACAGACCTGAACAAATAATGGTGCCCTAGACTTAATATTGTGTTGCATGATCTTTTGAGGCAATTCCTGAAATCAAACATATTTTTTTTTAAACTTTCAATCATATTGGTGCACCTCTGAGTAGGTATTGTGGCCCAATCTTCTTTAGCAAACTGCTACAGTTGCATCAGCTTTGCAGGTTGCGTTCTCCAGGTGGCATGTTTCAGCTCCTTCCACAGATGTCCAATAGGATTTAGATCAAGGATGATAGATGGCCAATTGAGAATAGTCCAATAATTTGCTCTTCGTCCTTCTTGGGTGTTTTTTGCTGTGTTTTGGGTCAATTACGAGACCGCACTATGGAGCACATTTCTCTCTAGAATACCTTAATAATCTTAAAATTTGACTCAACCATGCACAGATTCAAGACAACCTGTGCCAGATGCAGCAAATCACGGCAAGGAACATAGCAGACCCTCCTCCAAGTTCCGCAGTTAGGAACAGTGTTCCTTTCTTGGTGTGCTTCATTTTTGAGCCTGTGAAGATTGAGCATGTGTGTCTTGCCAAAATGTTCCAGTTTTGTGTTGTGTGTCCATAGGACATTGTCCCAGATGCTTTGTGGCTTGTAAACATGCAGGTTGGCAATTTGATTGCTTTATGATTTATATATATGGTTTATTTTCAACAATGGCATCCTTCGTGGTCATCTCCCATAACATCCACTTTGGCTCAAACAGTGAGAGATGGTGCAATCTCACACTAGTGTACAAAAAGCAATTCCAATGAAGTAGGGACATTGTATTAAACGTGAATAAGAACAGAATACAGTGACTTGCAAAACATGTTCAACCTATATTTAACTGAATATATGACAAATACAAGATATTTATTGTTCAAACTGACCCTATTGGTTTTAGCAAATAATCATTAACTTAGAATTTTACTGGTGCAACGCATTGCCAAAAAGTTGGGACAGGTGGTAAAATGACTGAGACACCCCAACCTCATTGGAATTGGATTTGCACCTTGGCATTCAAGTTCACCTTTCATTTCTTTGGAGAATGTTCTGTACTTTGTTGTCATTTGTATTCACCTTCAATTTGCCATCAATTTTGCTTCAACAGCCACATCCGGCCGGGGGAGGTTGGCTACATACAGTCCTGTGGATCTGTAATATTTGATTATGTAAAACTGCAGTCACTGGCGGCCCGGTGGTCCAGTGGTTTGCGTGTCAGCCTCAGAGTGTAGAGGTGCAATGTTGGATTCTAGCTCTGGCCTTCCTGTGTGGAGTTCGCGTGT